GGACTATATCCTCTCACCCTGATCAAACTATGATCTCAACCAATCTCCTTCTAAAATATACTTAATTACATAAAAATCTTTGGCATGCTATCCTAGCCCTACCCTCCTCAATAAACTATATTGGAGGTAAATGACACCTATAAAGTATTTCAGTGAGCAGCAGAATTGATATACATTTGTTTGTGGGTTTTCTGGCTTTTTTCCTGCTCATAAAAGTTTGTGTAGCCGTAGAAGTGCATTATAAATGACAGCAAGCGTTAAATGTTATAATTGCAGGCAAAGGCAAGATGTGCCTAAAAGCGGGATTAGGACGCCACCTGCTGGTGAATATAAGTACTCTTTGTATTATTACTAAGGTGCAGTTCCAGGTTTGGATAATCCAGGGAAGAATTAGTTTGTCCTTAAAGTTAGGTTCACATCTATGCAGTTTATGTTTGATCTGTTTCTGCAGTGTGTTTTGCACATGCATTTTGTACCCGTTTTTGATGTGTGATGCATTTTGACTTTTTTTCTTGCTGCTAGGCAGACTAAAATGCAAAACGCATCAAAAATGCATCAAAAACGCTGCAAAAACGCACTATATGCTTTTCTGCAGCATTTCCATTGAAGTCTATAGAACCATAAATGCAACTTTTTGCATTTAAAAAAGTCCCTGACCCTTTCCAAAAATCGCACCGAATGAAAACACGGAGATGTGAACATGTCCATTAGAAAGTCATGTTAAATGGACTGTATTGCATTTCTGCAAAATGCTAAACGCTGCAGAAAACGCTTAGGTACAGGAAGTGACCGAATAATAGCAATATCTATGGTATATAGCAGTGTGTTGTGAGAGATCAGAATGTCTGTGAAGTTTTTATTGCCATCTGTGACCGATGAAAACTGTTTCGCATTTCTTGTCCTGGTGTCTCAAGGATCAATAGTGAGGGGAAATCTCCCAATTAAGTCATGGACAGCAATAAATACATGGCAGTTTCTAAGGCCTCATTCAGACTAGGGTTGCCATCTCATCCCTCTAAAACCGAACACATATTAATCACACAGGTTCTGTAGCTTATTTAATGCAGATTCACATATGTGCAGGTGGTGCCACTGCGGATCCGCACAAAAATCTGTGCAGCTGCACCACCCACACAGATGAATGTGGACCCGCAGGCAGGGGCCCGCACTGGAAATCGCAACTGTACTGGGAACCAAGGTTGTGTTTTCCAAAGAAGTGTAGGGACTTCTTCCCTGCGTGTCCCGGGGCACGGGAGTCCATTAAAATGAATGGGCTCTCGTGCCCGTGCAAAATGCTGACTGCAGGAACACGGATATGTGAACCAGGGGTAAGTGAGTTTAATTACCACCATAATCAGCCACAGAACCCGCCCTTGAGCAGAAATATTGCTACAGGGTGGCATGGGTGCGCAAAGTCACGTATATATATTGCAGCTCGGCTGTCAATCACCGGGTCCCGGCCGGTGATTACTCGCCAGCGCCCAGTGATTGTCGAGCATCTCTGATGGGGAGGAGAAATGTTTGTAAACAATACAGTTCTCCTCCCTGTCAGCTCATGCACACTGCTTTGGATGGCTGTGCAGAGCACGGCCATGCAAAGCAGTGTGCTTACAGTGAAGCACACGGACACAGACACAAGTAAAACAGCACACAGTTAACCCTTTGGTCACCCCAGATGTTAACCCATTCCTGCCCAGTGCCATTAGTACAGTGTCAGTGGGTTTTTTTTAGCACTGATCACTGTATTGGTGTCACTGGGGATGTCAATGACACCAAGTCAGTTCCCCTCAGTGTCAGAATACCCACAGTCCTGCTATAAGTCACTGATTGCTGCCATTACTAGTACAAATAAAAATACAAAAAAATTCCATTATATATACTGCCATTAATAAATGCTATAACTGTAAACCAAGTAATTTACACGTATTAGCAAAAAGTTAAAAATATGTTGTTTTTTCTCAAAATTGTCAGACTTTTTCTTTTATAGCGTAAAAAATAAAAACCGCAAAGGCAATCAAATACCACCAAAAGAAAGTTAAATTAGTGGGGAAAAAAGGATGTAAATTACATTTGGGTGCAACGTTGCATGACTGCGCAATTTTCAGACAAAGTAACGCAGCCCCGTAACTCAAAAAATGGGCTTGTCAGGAAGGGGGGTAAATCCTCAGGAAGCCAAGTGGTTAATATGTGTTCGGTTTTGAGGGATGAGGTGGCAACCCTAATTCAGACGGGCATTGAGATGCCAAACTGGGATGAGTGGCTGTGCGGCCGCATCCCAATAGACATCAATGGGCTCTATGCATGTGCAAAAACCTAACAATCCTCTAGGATTTTTAAAATACCAACATATCACACAATAAATAAAGTCAACCAAAGTTTTTTATATCTGTTAAAATGTTACATTAAAATCTACTGTTACAGTCATGTACTCTCAATACATATAATCCAAATGATTGTAGATTATTATTACAGGTACTTCTATAGCACCATCAATTTCTGCAGAGCTTTACATATACAGGCATGCCTCGGTTTATGAATTTAATTGCAGGCATTTTTGTATAACGAAAAATTCGTAAACCGAAACGTCGTTTCCCAAAACCAATTCATCCGTTCTGGATGTCAGAAAAAAGTAAACGCTACTAAAATACCGCATGAGTTATTTTATCAAGTCATGCGGTATTTTAGTAGTGAAAACCGTGTGTTAATGTTTCAGCTGTCAGCGGGGTTCCCCACTGACAGCTGAATGTAAAAGAATTGCCGGCAATTAAAAAAATAAATATACAAATGGCGTGGGGTCCCCCCTCCCATCCATACCAAGCCTTTCGGGTCTGGTATGGATTTTGATGGGAACTCCCATGTCAAAATTAAAAAAAAAATGTTTTTTAAAATTTTGACACCCGAGTGATCCCGCCCCCGGTGACATCATTAATGTCACATGGGGTGGGGTCACATGCGTGATGTCCCCGGGTGGTCCTTACATATATAAGAACTGTCAAACCACAAAGCAGGCAGACGGCTGGGAGCCATCGTTGGAAGCGGAGACTTTTTTTTTTTAATTCTTTTTTGGGGGCGGAGGCAGACATTGTGATTGACGTTGGATCTACTGTGGGGGACATTCTTTTATTTTTTTCTTTTAAAAAAAGACTTGTCAAAGACCGTGTCCTGTCTTTTTTCACACTACACGTTTTGTTTTTTGTGAAAGAGTAGCGGGACCATGTACCCCATACTCATTCACATGGGCGGGGGGGGGCGGGATCTGTTAAATGGAGCTTCCAGATTCCGGTAAGCCCCCTGCCCGCAGACCCCCACAACCACTGGCCAGGGCTGTGGGGAAGAGGCCCTTGTCCCCATCAACATGGGGACAAGGTGCTTTGGGTGGAGCCCCCCCTGCCCCAAAGCACCCCCCCATGCTGAGGGCATGTGGCCTGATATGGTTCAGGAGGGGGTTCACTCCCTCGTCCCCCCCTTTCCTGACCTGCCGGGCTGCATGCTCAGATAAGGGTCTGGTATGGATTTTGGGGGGGACTCCCACGCCATGTTTTTTATTTTGGCGTGGGAGTTCCCCTCAAAATCCATACCAGACCTGAAGGACTTGGTATGGATGGAGAGGGGAGCCCCCTGTGGTTTTTTTATTATTTTATGGTGCCGGTTTTTAAATGTAATTACCGCTTTTTCTTTTCTTCACTATAGCTCAGAGATTCAGCTGTCACTTTCCCCCCAGCTAAAAGAGAAAGTTTCCTTTTAGTTTATTTCCCCAAGTTAAAAGAAACAATGTTTCTTTTAAACCGGGGAAAGTGACAGCTAATTCTGTGAGCTATAGTGAAGAAAAAAAAAAGTCACCAATTGCATTTAAAAATCAGCACCGACATACACTTTATATGGTGAAAAAAATTTGTAAACTGAGGCATTATTTTCAGTGGATTTTCATTCATAAACCAAAAATTACGTTAACCAAGCGTTTGTAAACTGAGGTACACCTGTATATATATATATATTGTACATTCACATCAGTCCCTGCCCTCAAGGAGCTTACAATCTAAGGTCCCTAATTCACATTCATACATACACATACTAGGGCCAATTTAGACAGGAACCTACCAACCTACTAGCATGTCCTCTTGGAGTGTGGGAAGAAACCAATGAAAGCACAGGGAGAACATGAAAACTCCAGGCAGGTAGTGCCGTGGTTGGGATACAACATACTTACAAAGGTTTACTCTAAAGTAGACCTTGCACTAAAATGCAATGTCCCTTTAATACATACTGCCCATTCCTACAATGCAATATAACTGTACGAAAAGAACTATGGTGAAAAGTTAGAAAGTATACTTACCTTACCTCTGGCTTTTCAGTTTGCAGGGCAAGTATATTTTATAACTTTTCTCTCTTTTTTAGGTATAGAAATGTTCCTACATCTAGGCTCAGGTACATTGTGGGAATAGAAAAACAATTTGCATATCTACTACTTAGGGAGTCACAGCACTACATTGCTTACAGATTCATATTTCTATTTCCAAGGTGCCATTGCTAACTCAGTGTAGCTAAAGCCAAACATGCAGAATCAGAAGATGTACAGGGGATTTCTGTTCCAATGACAGATAAGAGAGGAATTCCCTGCACTTTGCAAAGATTTCATCTAACTGCCAGTTTTGTCTCTGGAACAGGAAGTGAAGGGAAACCTTCCTAACCAGACACAAACATACACAAAAAAAAAAAATAATAATAAATAGATTTTTCATACCATATAGAATAAAAAAAGAAAAACATTTGTACTATACATACACTTTAAGCGGATACAGGAAAACATCCCTATGAATAGCAACAATGTACCAGGCACTAAACAATGATGGTAACAGCAGTCAAGACAAGGTGCCAAAGAGCCATAAGATTTACCTGACCCCTATAGCTCCTCCACTACCACATCAGTACAATGGCAAATGTTGCTTGCTTTTGTATGTATTCTGGATATGTTACATGACTTTATACTGGAATCTAGATACCTGTGGCTGGGTGATTGCTGTTGGTCTCTGTGGGGAGGGAATTGGAGTTTTGGACAGAGCCTGATTCATCCTGGCCACAACTAAATCAGCAATTGTTTGTCGATCCTCTGCTTGATGCTCACCAATCACTGGCATTGTGCAGTCCATAACCTGCCAAAAAAGACCAGAACTAGTCATCATACATTAAGGATACAGTATTACTAACAAATTGTTTCTAAAAGTTGAATTCTGAGCATAAAAGCATTCATTTAAATATTTATTTCAGGTACTTATATAGCGCCATCAATTTACGATTTACATATATATTGTACATTCACATCAGTCCCTAACCCTCAAGGGGTGTACAATCTAAGGTCCCTAACTCACATTCATACACATACTAGGGCAAATTTAGACAGGATCCATTTAACCTACCAGTATGTCTTTGGAGTGTGGGAGGAAACCGGAGTAACTGAAGGAAACCCACGCAGGCACAGGGAGAACATGTAAACTCCAGGCAGGTGGTGCCATGGTTGGGATTCAAACCAACGACCCTAGTACTGCCAGGCGCAAGTGCTATCCATTTAGCTACTGTGCTGCCCATGAGGGAAACATATTCCTCAATAGTCACAAATCCACTTAGTATACACCAAATGCCATTGAAAACACAATTATTGCCTTGTAAAATTAGTGGTGACATCGTAAGTGTGGTATGCATAGCCTGTGCAGAGAAATTAGCTGTGGGAGGGACCCAGTGGGCCCAGCCACTATGGCCTGCCTGCAGAAAACTACAGGAGGGGGCATGGATAAGACCAGTCACCCTGAGCATAGGACAGAGAGCAACAGTGGCTGGTCTTTCATACAGGAAGCTCCTGCAATGTTCCATGCTGGATTACTGGATTTAAAGCAGGGTAGTGCTAGATGCTAGTGCAGTCCCCACAGATTGGCAATCCTGCTGTTCACAGGTATCTCTGGTGTTCTTCCATGCAGAGTAGAGACCTTAAGACAGGGAGTACATCACTTCCTGGATCACCACGTGAAAATAAAGGGAAAAAGCCTAAGGACAAAAAAAAAAAAACAAATGTGGCCACCACACTTAACCACTTCAGCTCCTAAAGGTTTTCCCCCTTCATGACTAAGCCATTTTTTGCTAAACTGCACTGCGCTACTTTAACCGGTAGTAACGCAACTCTGTATTCAAATGAAATTTGTATAATTTTTTTTCACACAAGCAAAGCTTTCTTTTGGTGGGTTTTTTTATTTTTTGCGATATAAATGAATTTTTGAAAAAAAACAAAACAATATTTTTTACTTTCTGCTATAAAGCAAATTCAATAAAAAAAATTTTATATCACATTTCTTCATAAATTTTGCCAAAATGTATTCTGCTACATGTCTTTGATAAAAACATAAAAAAAGTATACGGTATATTGATTGGTTTGCATGGAAGTTATAGTGTCTACAAACTATGGTGTATATACTGGATATTTTTTTTCTTTTATACTAGTAATGGGGCAGTGATCAATGACTTATAATGGGGCTGTAGGAGTGCAGCGGGGGCATTCTGACACTAACTGATGCTGTGGAGAAAGTACTAACTGACAATGACATCACCAGTGACATTATTACAGTGATAATACTATTCGCTGTCACTGTACTATGGATTTTAAGGGGAACCCCACACCAAAATGAAATAAAAAAAAATTGTGTGGGGTTTCCCCCCCAAAATCCATACCTGACCCTTATCCAAGCATGCAGCTCAGCAGGCCAGTTGAGGGGGCAAGTGACCCCTCAACATGAAGGAGCACTTTGGGGTAAGGGGAATCCCCCCCAAAGCACCTTTTCCGCATGTTGATGAGGACAAGGCCCTATTCCCCACAACCCTGGCCCAGTGGTTGTGGGGTTGTGTGGGGTGACTTATTGGAATCCGTGCCCCCAGATTCTGCCCCCCCCCCGGGAATAAGTAAGGTGTGTAAAAGTGTAAAAAGTAAGTAAAAACAACTGTCCTTTAAAAATCAAAAATAAATGTCCCCCCAAAGTAGATCCAATATCAATCACCATGATTGCCGTCCGCCTACCACCCTCCCCCAAAAAAAGAGCTCTGCACCTGACAAAGGCTCCGCTGTCTGACAGTTCTTAAATAACTAAGGGGCGGGACACCTAATGCCTAACCAAATAACCAAAAATTTGTCTGAATTTTTATTCAGACCGTAACGATTTGCACATGTCTAGCAATATTAAATTTTCTGAAATTTCTTGCTTCTCCGCCTGTAAAGATGCAAACCAATGTTTTCCAAACACCATCTCCTGGCTCAGCCCACTGCAGATTCCCCACTCACTGAGGAATGAGAGAGTTTGCACACCACGGAATCATGTGAAAAGAAGCTGTAGCTTCACCCATAAGTACTTAGGGAGTATAAATGATCATGCAAACTGCGATGAAGGTAAACTGAGTGAGTGTTATGCTGCACAGTTGCAGTTTTGTAGGAACTATTAGGTCAATTATTAATTTTTTTTTTTTACTGCTTGTAAACTTGGATAAAGAGAAATTTTCCCCTCCTAATGTAAGTTTCAGTCTTTTTCCCCACTTCCCTTTGGTGTTTTGTTATGATGGATTTATATACTTAAAGTGGTGATAAACCTCAGACATGAAATATGAATAAAGCATATCCCTCTACAGTTTGTACTTGTCTCAGTCCAGAGCACTAAGTGTCATTTCTGTCTGGGGAGATGACTGTGTCTTCCTGTTTCTCACAGCCACCTCCTAATGACATGGCATCAAATCTCTCACATGTACAAAAAGAGATGGAGGAGAAAGGAGGATAGTAAGGCCTCCTGGGATATTAATGTCACATATCACATTACTATCCTCTATTGAAAGAACAGACATGGCCCCAGATTTCTGTCTGCACGTGCGTAAGATCTGATGCTGCCTCTGTTTACCACCTCATTCTATAGAGAAAGTAATTCCTCCTGGGATATGTGACATCGGTGTCAGTGGTAGCCACAGGAGGGGAGTGGAATGTCACTCAATCCTGGGCAAGAATGAAGGCTGGCTGATCTTTTTGTAATTTTTTTCTTTTTTTATCAAAAACTTTTTTAAAAGTGTGGCGGAGGGTATTAAATTGGTGCAAAAGTCAATCTTGAGTGAAAGTCTGCTTTAATATCACTAAAGTATTCAACGCCCCCCACCTTAATTTAGTTTTTTCTCCCCCCTACCTGTACTGCTGTGTTCTCTTAAAAACATGTCCTCACCTGCACGGCAGATCCACTATTGTCCTGCTGAGGACCAGGTACACATTACTGTGGCGTAGTTCAGAATGGTGGTGGGGGGCCAGGCCAAAGAAAAAAAAAATAAAACAAAAACACCCCAAATAAAACAAAAAAAAACCCCAAATAAATTCCAATTGGGGAGGGGATGTGATTGGGAAGTGACTGTAAACTATCATTTTTTGAAAATGTAAAATAAAAAAAATTATATATTTACCTGCTTTGGCAGTTCCTTACCCCCGCTGATGCTCTCCGCTCCTTCCTCCTATGAGTGCCCCCTAAGTAAGCCATGTGCTGAGAGGGCACTTATGTAGGCACACTCCCAAACCGTGTGGTGTGCATCCATAGACACACATAGCACAGCTCAGCCATGCCCTTTCTCCCTCCTCACATGATATGACTGACAGCAACAGCATTCTATGGCACCCACCCAGCGGTGTATTTTGGTTCTGTGCTGCCCTAGGTAACGAACAAAATCGGAGCCCCCCCCCCCCCCGGGGGAGAGAGCCTGACACCGATCAACCCCCCCCCATGGAGAGTGCATGACATTGACCACTAACTCCCATGCCCCCTCCATCCGAGCGAGAGTTCCATTAACATACAAACCCCCTCCCTTCCCAGAGAGAGAAAGACACTCACCTTCACAGCTTCAGATATCCCTGGGAACAAGAGTCGGGCTCTGCATAGACCATCAAACAGTCTGGAGCCTCTCTCAGATCCCACCTGGTCCCCGTGCTGCATGTGTCTCTTCTTCCAGGGGGCAGTGCTGCCCCCCTGAAAAATGCCGCCATGGGCAAATGCCTTGTTTGCCTTGTGGTAAATACAGCCCTGCTCCCACCGTTGCCTGTGTCTCCAGTGAGAAGTCTCCAGTTTAGGCCACCAATTCACAAAAAGAACATTGGGGAACTGGAGAAAGAGAAGGGCAACCAAATTGATAGGAGCTCAGCTATGAGGAAAGATTAGAGGAACTGAATGTATTCTCTCTTGAGAAGAGGAGATTAAGGTTGGATATGATCACCATGTATAAATACATCAGTGGTTCATATAGTGAACTCGGTGTAGAGCTATTCACCCTGAGGTCATCACAGAGGACAAGGGGGCACTCTTTACGTCTGGAGGAAAAAAAATGTAATCTCCAAATACGGAAAGGTTTCTTCACAGTAAGAGCTGTGAAAATGTGGAATAGACTCCCTCAATTGTTGGTTCTGGCCAGCTCAGTGGATTGCTTTAAAAAAAAGGTCCTGGATTCTTTCCTAGATACACATAATATAAATGGATATTAACATTTATAGGTAAAATCGATGCAGGGAATATGCAATTGCCTCTCGGGGATCAGGAAGGAATTTTTTTCCCTGCAGCAGCAAATTGGATTGTGCTTTGCTGGGTTTTTTACTTTCCTCTGGATCAATGGTGGGTATAGGATTATAACTTTTTTTTTTTGTTGAACTGGATGGACTTTTGTATTTTTTCAGCCAGACTATCTATGCAAGTATGTAAGAAAGAGAGGAGAACAGAGCTGCAAATGGAAAAGCATTAGATCGTTGGAGTTAAGTAAGTGTTTAAGGTTGGGGGGGTGGGGGTAACGGGTAGTCGGGTGTTTTTTTACCTTAAAAAATTATTAGACTTTAGAACCATTTTAGGTTCTGCATTAATGTAAAATCTTCCTTTAACATGATAAACAAGCACAACAGTTTATATTTTCCCGCTACACTTTGAGTGTCGCCAGTTATATGGGTATGAAACCGCCTTAACATGACAGATTAGTATTTATAGCAAGAAATGTAGCTTAAATAAACTATTCCATAAGTATAAAAGAGAAAAAAACACAATATTTGCTGTTTATAGAATGTAATTTATGCACTGCAGCAGCAAACTGCTAATTTGTGTGTACTGTCAACAAT